CGGCGGGGCGCCTCGTTTCTGCGGGGCAGACCTGTCCTCCGGGCCTGAGCGAGCGGCCCCGGGCCTGCCGCGGGACCGGGAGGTGGGCGGGGGGCGCAGGGATCGCCGTCCCCCCTCCCCTCCCCCCCGTGCCCGTGGGGGCGCGCCCCCCGCCAGCGGCACGCCGTGCGGCCCGTCCCGTGGGGCGCGTCGGCGGCCTCTTCCTCGGCCCTTGCGTGGGGGTGTGTGCCCCCGGCGGCCGCCCCTCGGGCGGGGAGCCGCCTTTTCAGCGTCCCCGCAGCGGCGGTTCCTCGGCGCGGGCTTGGCTGCCCGTCGGTTTGCTGGGGGGGTGTAGAGAGAAAACAATTCAGCGAGGCTTCTTGGCCCTGGTCTTGCCGTTCATTTAACGCTTGTTTTTTAGCCTGTCTTTCCCGGGCGACTGGATAAGGTTGTTCCCTTTTAAATCGAAACGGTTTAAGGAAAAATGACTTGGAAAGTTGGAACTAAAATTTTCCGCCAAGTTATGTAACTTCCAGCTGATGCTGAATGCAAATCAGACTCAGCCAGTAGTGTCACTAATCACAAGTGTGCACTGAGGTCACAGTGTTCCAGTTTTTTGTCCAAAGTGAATATAAACCGTTCAGCAGCACAGTGTCAGAGAATAGAATGCCTTTTATTGAAGTGTGTTTCTTTATGCCATTATATTTATCAGTGTGGCTTTTTAATTGATTTTGACTTCAGCATGTGCTCCTGCTTCCAAGCGCATATTTCTCAGAAGTAAAATCCAAATTATTAAAAAAAAAAAAAAAAAGGAAGTTGCTACATTATTTTAGCCTTCGTGAACTCCCCCGTGGGAATGAATCTGAGGAAATCTGTGCTCTTTGCTGATAGTTGGACTAAATGATTGTAGCGGTTCTCCCTAATCCATGCAGTTTAACCACTTGTTTCAAGGCATTGCTTTATTAGGCTTTCTGGTGAAGGATAAGTTTTTGTATATTGTGTGTACTTCTTACTGAGGTCAGTGGGAGATTGGAATACTCCAGGAATTGATTTTTCTGAAATAAGAGATCCTGTTGTTTTTAAGACCTAGGAGAAATTCATCAATTTCAAAATGTCATCAGTCAAACGCTTGGTTTATGCAGTCATCCATTTCTTGAGAGAGCAGAGTCAGATGGATACTTTCACTCCAGATGAACAAGAAAGCTTGGAAGGTAAGTGGCAAAGGTGCGAATATATATATATGTATATGTATAATACCTACCCATGTGTTAAATTGCTTGATGTTTATTATCACAGAAAGTAGAGTGACCTAAATGAAACTGCCACCAAATATTATCTGTGAACAAGACCACAATCTTAATGTTTTTGAGATTATTAATTTTAAAACATCTCTCATTTAAAAAATGTCCTGAAGTTACAAAATGTATACTATCTTAATTTTGAGCAACAGATACTTTGATTCACATCAAGATAAGCAGTGCTATAATGCAGACTATGGTAATGATTTGTGTATGTGTCCCACAAATTTTTGCCTGCTGATTCTTTTTCTCTTTACTTTCATGTTTGGTTTCTTTCTGTATTTTGTGTCTCTTATTAGCTGTGCTGGCCATGGAAGAAGTAAAACAATTACCATATATTGGTTTTGTTATACGGGAAGAACTCCCGTTTCATACTTGCAAGAATTCCATGTAATTTATGAGAGAAAGCTAAGTGGTCCTAAGAATATGGAAAATAAATAAATTGCATTTCTTTTTCACTTGAATAGTGATTCCAAATAGTGCATGGCAGTGAATATTTTCAGTATGGTATAGTTTCTATTATACATCCAAGCCCATCTCTCTATATACACAGCTACAGAAAGATGGACTTCTATCTGTATTCCTCTGTTGACAGATGTTCATTAAGCCTTTGTAACTTTATAGTATCTGTCTTTCTCCTTCATACTGCTCTTATTCCTTTCCCTAATTCCTGGAGACTTCTTGGCAGGTGGTATCACAATGTGGAATTAAGCAAGAGAAGAACAAAAAGTCTTAATTCTGCAATGAGCTTTTCATAGCACCTATTTAAAAGACCTCTGCACTCTTTCAAGCAGTCTGTGGTTGTATCACTCAGCCAGAGGAGGAATTTGGGGGTAAGAGGGGAAAGTCTAGGACCAGCAGTGCAATAAGCATCATCCAGGCAGTTGATCACTGAGTTACCTGAAATCTGAGATGTGGAGAGTAGACTTTCCTGAGGTACAAAACAAGTCCTGCCCCTCAGAGGCATAAACTTAAAAAGGTAAACTTGGAGTGTGCTTCTTTCCACTGTCTATTGGTTTTACAGTGTAGTTGTTCACTAATTTAAGCAAGAAAGAAACATTTGTGTCATGATATTCAAAAGATACTCGCAAAAGAAAAAAAGCCAAAAGATTTGGTTTTACATCAGAGTCTGGAGCGTTTTGTACTTTTGAAAAGTGGTAGTCACCTATGAAATTTAACCTGTATCAGGTTATGATGATGTTCAGCTGATGAAAAAAGCAATGTTTTGGGAAATCATACAATGGGAAATGAAGAGTACTCCTTTGGGTTTTAGAATAAAACTGATAAATGTTGGGTTATGACTGAAAATTTACAGAGCAGCCTTAGCCAATGTCTATATGAAGGAATCAGCTTTAAGATTGTGGTTTCTAAACAAAAAATATTATAAAACCTCGGTTGTGTTTAAATGCCAATGTAAAATTTACCATTTTAATACAGATATGAAATCATAATTTTAGAGCTGTACCCTGCCAAAAGCATGGTACCATATGCTGTGTGTTAGAGGATAGGAGGCAGACATTCTGAATAATTGACTCAATTTAGTTGTGCAAAATATCTTTAGTGCACGTGGAGTAGCAATAGCCCAAGTCCGTGTTTGAAGTGTTTAATGTTAGGTGGAGACATAAGGGATAAAACAATTTGTCTGTTGTTTCTCACTGGTACCTTATGTACCTACTTGATGTCTATGAAAAGATAAAACATTGTATGATTAAGTGTCTGTGCCAGGAAGTAATTTAAACAGTTCCCATTCCCCACAAAAAAAAAAGAACTAGAACAATACAAATAAAATTGAGACTTTATCAAAATAGAAGTCTAGCATGTATTCCAACTCCATTTATATTGATAACCTGCATTCTGCATGTTTGAATTATATAGCGATGTCAATGATAGTGTAAATTTCCTCTAGGAATTTTGTACTTGCATGATGAATAAAATTGCCTTATTTAGAGAAAGCAGGGAAAGGTAGGCCAGAGAAATATACTCCCCTACAACTTAGGATCTACAGCAGTGATATAGATCCCTGATGGTTGATGCTCAACTCTATTGTATGAACTAGAAACTTCACTTCTTCCAAGTTATATTTTAGACAGTGTGTTTAAATGGCAGTTATTTCTTTCCTGTTTACAGTTTCTATTTTTTTCTTGTCTATAGCGCCTATTTCTGTGGGATTAGAGCAGAAACTCTGCTACGTGCACAAAGCTGTGATTTTTTTTTTTTTTTTCTTACTTTTATGATTAATGTACCACAATGAATTTCTCTAAGGCAGTGTTTCCAAAACAGTGGAATGCGCCCCTTAAGGTGAGGGATGCATGTAATACTTGAGATGAGGAAGGTTATGTGTAAGATAAATACCAAGTACTAAAGGGGCCTCAGCAACCCAGTTAATATTCATTATTCAATGATCAACAGCCTGCATGGCTGCTGTGATGCCTTGATGTTGCTTGCAACTTGTGCTTGGACAGCAGAAGTCCTGGAGCTATGTGGCACTGGGGATGCTGAGCTGGGCTCCAGCATAGCCCAAGTGCTCCTGTTGTCAGCTAGTAGGTGTTTGTGTGAGCCCCAGGTGTACAGCAGGGAGGTAGTTATCTCTACTGGTTAACAAGGTGGTCAGTACAAGCTTCAGAAACTGCCTATGCCTCTGAAAGTGTATGTGATGATGCAGATAATAGGGAGAATGGATAATTTTGGCCTTTGAAATCAGACACGGGAAAAATCTTAGATTAATAGCTCACATCGTGCAGCAAGTCTTTCCCAACTTACTGATAATATCGGGCTGGTGGCTGTAGACAGTGCCTCACATTGATAATGGGGTAATAAGATGCTGGCAGTCTAGTGTCTTGAGATACTTTTCAGACAAAAACAAGTCTTCACTCCTTTACCTTTACTGGTGTCAGGTTTTTATATCACACTAAAAGAAGGTAGTTACTGATCTTGTCACAACTTAATACATCTTCTGATTTGGAAAAGTTTCTCTTTTGGCTGTTTATTTTTACACAGGTTTCTATTGTTGGCTTGCATGTTAACCAATGGTTATTATTTAAACCTATGGATTCATCCCGTAAGAGTTCCTAATTTTGTTATACCTGTGATAGATAGATTATAAGGATTATAAATTCCAGTTTTCAGTTAAAGGAGAAATGTGAGAGTTCACTGTAACAACTGATTATTTCATGGAAATGCTTACTAGTGATAATACTATACTCAGGAGTATTTTGTTTAAGCATAATTTGCACTGCTGCACTTTGCAGAAATCTCCTGTATGATAGAGAGTTGGTGTCACAGACTTAATACCTTGAGACAAATAAAGGAGGGGGTTATATTTTAAATTTATGCATAACTACAAATGAGGGAAAGGGAATGCCTTTAGGTGAAAATAAGTTTGAGGGAAAAATTTGTAAGTATACTATCGCAAGTGGCTTTAAATTAAGTCAGATAAGGAAAAACAAGATACGTAATTCCACTGATTTTATGATAGGCCTGGTAATAAGTACTATTAATATATAGTTCAGAATTCAGCATAATCAGTGCTTACTTTACAAGGATTAAGTTTTTGTACATAGCAGGAGACAAAGGAGTTTAACCCAAATTCTGCAGTACTCTTACTGGGTAATTTAGAACCCTTCAAATTGATACATTTTTAGCATTTTTAGGATATAGGAGCAAGTTATATGCATATTTAGCAATGTATTCAATTGTTACATGTTATCAACATTAATTTTGTATCATACTTGACTTTTTTCTGAATAATTTCTGTTGTATGTTATCAGAATTTTTTAGAAAATTACATCTTCCAGGTTTTACTATTTATTTTACAACTCTACTTTTTCCCCCTTTCTCCCAGCTGTGACACAGAAAATAGGCTCCTCAAACTGGCCTTACTGTTGTTAACTTTCAGTAATTTTACTTTTCTAATTTTGCGTCAGTGTTCGGGTTCATTATGATGCAAATAAGAATTCAAATTTTATTTATTATATTAACATTGGACTGATATTCAATTTAAATTCTAAGATTCAGTTTTTACTGATACTTAATTTGAATTCAGCTACTCCTGGTTATCTATAGTTCGAGTTAAAAAGGTCATTTTCCTGTTCAAACTAGGCTTTACAAAAACTTTTCTTTGTTCCTCCTCAGTTTTCAGTTTAAAACATTTAGATGATACACCTTAATAAAAACATTCTACTAGATTCTCAAGATGATAGGGAAAATAATTATATAATTCAAGATACTATAATTAACAGAATACAGATATATATACAGAATTGTATATAGTAATTGCCATTGATCTTTTGCTTAGAAGTAGGCGAGCGCATTTAAAACTTCAGTTAGGTATTTGGCTCTACTTTTTTTAGAATTGCTTATTGTGAGTGTATTTGCATTATTGCAGGTTTGGGAGGGCCATTTAATCCTTACACAACAGAACATGGGAAAGGATACTGCAGATATACATATTTTTACAGGATAAAGGCTTGTGATTAATGAAGCATTTTATTAATAAACAGTGTCTTCAAATGAATATATTTTGTTCAAAAAAAAATGAAAGTAATAAGTATCTTGCATTTACTCTTCACAGTAAAGATGAGCCATTTTCTTCCAACTATTATGCCACAGAAATATATGGCAGTTGTGGTGTTTTGAGATGGGGTATGTGACACATGCATAGATGTATTATGAATTGTGGTGCTTTTGTTAAATCCTCATATTTTTATGTTAAAAAAAAACATTAAATGATTGAAAAAATTGAAATGAAACTTTTAAATTGGTTTAAGAATAATGGCTGAACTATGTATGGATTCTCTATAGATTATAGTATTTTTCAGCAAGTCAATTCTATGGGGATCAGATAGCCTCTCTCTATTTGATGGTATGTTCCAAAAAGCTACTTTTATTAGCTGAATAAGGAAGTGAATAACAGCTTTATAAATAAATCAGTGAAACTACACTTCTATTGAGAAACTGGTGACTTATATTTTTTATTTTTTGTTTGTAAGTTGCAATTCAGTGTCTGGAGACTGTGTTTAAGATTAATCTGGAAGATACTCATCTTGCACCTCCACAGCATTTGATAGAAATGTTCACAAATTCTTTTCACAAGGTAAGATCATTTAGATTCTAGAGTTATTCTGCCAATATGTCCTAAGATTTCATATTGTATAGACAACCTTAAAGTGCTGTGTAGGTCAAAATGTTGTGGAAACTTCAGGAAAATATGGAAGAAGTAAAATTCCGTAAAAGCTAGCAGAAAGAGAATCTTTTCGGGCAGTGGGAGTAATTAATTTCAGCTAGACAAGGACAGTTCCATATAGAAAATTACTAAACAGTGGATGTCTCATTCTCACTTGAAGGATTTTATCCTTCAGTTAAGCATTTTGCAATTCCCGGAGATAAATGTCTGTGAAGTGCTTGAGGTCATTCATGGTTTGCTGATGCTTCTCACTCCCTTCTGGAAATAATTTAGTTGTTCAGTTTTAAAAACACCTCTGTGAACACTAATCTTAAAATGGGAACCTTAGAAATGCATACTAATAATACATGTTATCTAGGATCCCCAGTACAGGAAGCACTGGAACCACCATGAAGACAAATAGGACAGTCAGACGTAAGAAAACCAAGAACGTAGAGACATATCGGCTCTCTTCCCTTTGACTTCTTTAAAATGTGTGGTGAGCCATAAGGTTTTTTTAGTAGTAGAAAGCAAGCTATCTTTCTCTTCTACAGATGTTTCAGTGATGTTTAGTTCTTTTGTACTTCCTGTGCCCTGCAGAAAATCTGGTTGCTTGTTGATACATGCTTCCCAGGATGAAAGAAATTTTTAATAAAATCAGGGCTTATATTTTAATTTAAAAAATTTTGGTTTGTTTACATACAGAATGACACGCTGCCTCTCTCAGATTCTTTACCGGAGGATGTTGAAAAGGCTGACCAACTGAAGGATGAAGGTTCGTCATAAACATGAAGATTTTGGGGTTATCCTGGATAGTGATAGTATAGCAGCTGGGCAACACACACCCCGCACAAGAACTTAATCTTATATTCTCTGATGATTGTTATGCTGTAAGAGGGCTAAGTGATTTGCTCCATCTGGGGTTTAAGAAAATACAGAAGAAAATATTCTCTTCCTTGCTCAGGAGGTTGCTTAAAAACTAAGCGATAGCATGTCAAGTCTTGGGCATCATTCCTGAGTAGTAGAAGCTTTAAAGAATGAACAGTTATTATTTGGTAATTATAGATTTCTGTTTGTCCATGGAATTGCTATACAAGTTTCTGCTTTATATTGAGAAGGTTATGTGATGTCAAGGATTATGTGCTAGCTGACTATTAAAACATTGGTAAATTGCTGGCCCAGCTGAAGCCAATGGAAAAATTCTTGTGAACTTACTAGGGTTAGTGTTTCACATATGTGAAATAATTTGTGTGCTGTATAAAGATTGCAGAAAAGCCAGTTGTTTATTTTCCCTTTGATAGATGTTATTGCTGTTATGCGAGGAAAAGCAGCTGTACCACAGAAACCTTCACTAAAGCTACCCAAGAAGGAATCCATTTTATTTCCCCCACAAAAGAAAGTGGAAAAAAAAGAAGGCGTGTAGCACTGATAACTTATACAAATTGTTATCAGGTGGATTGATGCTTATAAATCACGTTTCTTATGACCTGTTGGATTTTCAGATATTGGACTTTTATAGAAAAATAAGTTTCTAATTGCGAGGCAGATGTAATCCTCTCAGAAATTTCAGGATAATGATGGGGAAAAATTTCTACTGGTTTTGAGAATGAGTTCCACATCTGTCTTATCTTAAAACTGGTCATCTGTAGTCAGGAATGCAGTCCATTACTGGCTCACAAAGTAAGTTTTCCTAATTGTTGAAGTTGCTCTTTAATTCTAAGGATAAGAGCTCAAACAAGGTTAGGTTACAAGCGAAAATCAGTTTGTAAGTTGTAAGATACGTGCTGTGCATGCTGGCTTTTCATTTTGCTGTCTGTTATTGTCAGCTCATGGGAAGTGAAGAGTACCTGTAGCACTCAGTATGATTATGGGTCTTTAGAGATATTCAGCACTTTCCAGGTGTGGGAGTTACAGCAATGCCTGTTTTAAATCTGTGACTTCTGTCTTGTCATCTGTTGTCCCACAGGGGTTTGTGAAATAGGCTGAGGAAATGAAACTGATGTATGCTCTATGTTAGTCTTCGTGTGGTGTTACTAAAGCAATTGCATGTCTCTACTGAAAAAATTGAAAGGGTCTAAACTTTGACGAAGGGCCATTTAAAGTGTCAGTTATCAGAGGCATTAGTAAGCAGTTTGAAAATGCTTGAAATGCCTCAGGTTAATTTCCCATAATAAAATTAAAACTTCCTGTCCTTTTCTAATGCTGCTCTGTCATATTAATCCTTCTTGTTTTCACACACGTATTATCTACCACCACTATCATGCTTTTCAGTTAGGAGTATTTTCTGCCCTGAGTTAGGGAGATAAACTAGATAACTTGGGAAATTCCATTTGACCCATATCTTCTATAATACTGTAATTCTATAACTTGTCATTTCCTCATTTCTATCTATATGTCCTTACCAGAGGAGTAACTTCCCTCACCTTTGTGGGCACCGGTCTGCTGCTCCTCTGCTGTCAAACCAGCCCTAGTACCTGTAGAAATTGGCTAATGAATGGCAAAACAAAATCAGATAGCCAAGTTTTCTTTCTTGGTCATTATAAAACCAGGAAGTAATATACCCTCCAGACTAGTAAATACTTGAATTTACTTGCCTACCCTTGTATATCACTTAACACTTTGGCCATTTTGGCTTAATGTGAACTATGTAAGAGCACAGATTATGTGCAGGTTTCTATAGTGTAACAGTGGCTTGATCCTAAAAAGATCTGGGTATTACCACAGTATAAATTATAACAATAGGTAGTATTTTCGGTATTGAGGACACACATTCAAAAGTATAACCATTTGTGGGGTTTTTTTGCCATAAGAATTTTTGTCTGGCATTAAAATAAAATATGACACTTGCTTTTCCTTTTGTCCGGAATTGCTTAATCTCAGCAGAAATAGTAGGTCTAGCTATTTTTCTGTTTTGCTTTAGCCAATTCTGAGCTAGAGAGAGAGAGAGAGAGCAAGAAGGGCACCCAGTGATACTAGCTCCAACTTAGCCCTGTACCCCAGGTCATCTTTAGTTCAGAGCAGTATCAGAAACTCCAACTTTGATAGTCATTGGTGGCAGTTTTGTTTTAGAGAAATGTTAGCTGCTGCAATCTTGTTGAGTGCTGCTGACTTGCAAGTCTTTTATTTGGCAACAGGATGTAGTGTACAGACCTTTACCTTAGATCAAAGGACAGATGTGTAGACGGTGAGCCTGTAGAAATGAGACAGATAGGGTTACATTCTGTGTATATTTTGAAAGTATACATGCAATTACAGTTTCAGTTTGCCTTCTCACTGGCAGGGATTGCTGACTATAATTACAGTCTAGTGTATCACTGTTGGGAAGAGGTGATCTTGTACTACCTGGGTGATAGTTAGTTACTTAAATCTGGTTTTGTTTATTAAGCTCTCCGTGTTCACAAGTGACTGACTGTAAGTATAGTTGTTTTCATTTAGTACAGGCATCTAGGACTGCTTGCTCCACAGTCTTTTGCTTTCTACCAGAGACAAAATACTGCACTGACTGAACGTTTCCAGCCTTTGCTTACGCGGTTATCTACATCTGTATAGTAACCTGTTGACTTATCTCTTCTCCTGCTTATTTTGGGAGAGGGTTGTAATATTTTGCCAAAATACAAGGACGTCAGTGGAAGTCTATAATTTTCCTGACAGTTTCTTGACATTTCTGGGAAACCAAGGCTTCTGTAGGATCTAGCAGGCCAAAGATCCGTAGTTACAGGACCAGGGACAACCTTAAGCTTGGGCACTCTGAACTAGGACTATTTCTCTACTACTTTGTCATCAGGAAAGAAAGAAACTGCCAGGACTGCCCTAAATTGGGAAAGAAACAATGTGTAAGATATCTTTTGTTTTGAAAGACCTTACTCCAGAATTTTCTTTCCATAGAAAAGTTACATTTTTCTTTTTTTTTCATTGGACTTAAAAAATATGAAATATGAAACTTTGTTATAGAGTAGAAGTTCTGAGCTTTGTTGGTGAGAAACGTTACCTCTGAATCATTTTAGATTACCTGTCCTATACATACTTCTCATTACCTTAATGAATTAATTATGTGGCTTCACAAAAGTGGGACTTACGTGCTTAGTTTTGCTTTTGTTTGATTTACCATGTTATATGGATAGTTATAAGCAAGTTGTAGGTACATGTGAGAAAATGAGACCAAAAAGGAATTAATATATAGCCTTTTGGATTATGAGGCTTGCAAAGATACTTAAGACTGATGAATCTGTATTAGAGTAGAACTGCAATTAAAATTACACTTTTCAACAAAGTGATCTTTGCTTAACAGCAGAAACTAGCTGGAAGGTGTGAAATAGCAAGATGAGAAGGGGAAGGTTTATGTGGTGGACTACAATGTACATAATGAAGTTTATAGATATAGTAGATATTTTTATTTGCATTATTCCATGCCAATTCTATTTAAAAGAATGTATCTCAAAAAAGTGCTGTCATAACTACCTTATATAGATACTATAATGTGGCTGCTCTATTTCTTTCATACATAGCACTGTATCTTTTAAATACTTAAGAGCTTTTTGTAATTTATTTCAGGTAATAATCATATGAAAGAAGAAAATTATGGAGCTGCAGTGGATTGTTACACTAGGGCTATAGAACTGGATCCAAACAATGCAGTCTATTACTGCAACAGGTAAAAACAATACACACCTTTCATTCCTGAAATTAATTAACGTCATTTTAAAGATAAATTGTGAACTAGATCAAAACAACATGAGGCTAGAATACTCCACTATTCAGAAATTTATCATGTTAAATTTGTAAAAGATTAAAGCAAAAGTCAGCTCATTCAGCATATCTGTATCAGTTAAAGGTGTTATATGGGCTTTAAAATTACTTATAACACTTGAGATCGGGTTTTTGTGAGTTAGGTTGTCTATATTAAATCATAACGTAGGCTGTGATTCCCAATCTGTTGAGAATAGCAAGAGCCTTTTTTTCTGGTGTTCTAGTGACTCAGCTGCCATCTCTATCTTATTTAGTATTGACTGTGCCTGCAAAAAATATCATCAATGTGGGAATACCATTCTGGAGATTTCAAGCATTGTATAAATATTCAGCATTTTTATGCATGACGTGGGAAAATAACAAGGCTGTTGTTGTGGTTCCATTGTATAATCTAATCTTCACCATAGTAAAGACATAGTGACATGGGAGCAGATGAAGTCTGGAAGGGCATGTTAACCCAGTAGCAGAAGTATGCTCTTTCTGTATACTGCCCAGAACACCAGCATAAGAGCAAAGGTAGTATAGACCATGAGCCCTGCTGGAACTAGCCTGTCTCTAGAGCTACTCTGCACTACAGTCTTCAGTGCCTCCATTACCAGAATGATATATTAACTGTCAATCTAGCCTTGTGGCACTGTACCCAGCTGATTTTTCTGGTTTTGGAGCTATGCTTCCATTACTCCAGAGTTTAGTTTGTGATAAATACAAGTGAAAGATTCAGTATTTCATGGCAAGCATAAAGACAAAAGAAATGCACAGTTTACTAATATTTTACATATTTAAGATGGCAGTTCAAAGTGTAAATAATCTATTTTCCTTGAGAAAACTGATGACATAAGTGATTTTAGGTATAAAATGGAAATAAAAGACCAGATTCAAAAGCCTCCCCAAATCACTGGAAGTTTCCTCAGTAGAATGGGCTTAAGCACCAAATCTGTAGTGGGCAAGAGCAGAAATACTTCACTCTGATGTGTATTACATCATCACATATCACATTTGTGAGGACCAAAATGAATTTTAGTGTCAGTAAGCACAGTATTGCATGAAGTTATTTAAAAGAAGACAGGCAGTTGCTTGGAGTTTTGTGGGTGATGAAGTATCTAAATAAATATAGACCTTATTCTTGTCTTTCTTAAGCTGGTTTGGGAGCAATGGAGATGTATCACCTTCAAAAGTATTGCTTTTTACACACAGCAGTGAGAAAAAGAGACAGCTGAGATGCCCTCGAAGTTTAAACTGGCCGTATAAATTTTTTGTAAACGCGGAAAAAACATTTTCTGTTCAAACACGAGAGACTAAGCACTGTCCCCAGCTTTTATCCATACATCTTCACTGGCATCTGTGGAGTTGGACAACTGTTAAGCAGCCTAAATATTTAAAATACATAAGTAGTCCTATTCAGAAGATATTTTAATCAAAGTCAGAACAGGAAAAGGGATTGAATATAGTGATGATTGTAGCATCTAGCATTCCTAATAAAAAAGAATGCTTTATGCAATGGAAATAGTGTCATTTCTACTATAGTTTTTTAATCAAGGAAGAACAAATTAGAATGCTTTGAGACCTTTCAAACTGGGAAAGTTTTGGTTATTAATCTGTTCTAATGTACTTTTTAATTTGGGCAAGTCTTTAATCTTACTGTATAAATGTCCACAACATTTAGTATTTCTCTGATATAGACATGCAATTGTAATTTAGTAATTCAGAGATTATTGAGAAATGTTATCCCAATTTACCTGCAAACATGCAAATCACAGCATTGCTTTGAATGGCAGTAAAACTATACTTCTTGCTGGAAAATGCCAACTGTATAAAATCCTTCTGCTTAAACAATGATTTTATGTAAATTACTACTTGAGAGTTTCACTTCTTGTAATAGATTTTATGATGATTTTTGTGCATAGTCATGTGCTGGATCTAAAACAGTTCCTTAGAATTATTTATCCTTTGTGTCCTAAAGGCGAGTGCGTGTTCTCCAAAGCCCTAGTCTAGCAATGCACTTAAGCACATACTTAATTCAGAACATTTCCTTGTCCTACTTAATTGAGGAAAGCTGAGGCATTGCCTAAATAGTGAATGAAAAGTCAGTAAGATCAAAGAAGTCTAAAGTTAGTCATGGACATGTGAATATTTAAGCTTGGGGTTTTTTCTTTTATTATCTTTTTGACAAAGCTTTCTCCCTTCCCTCCCATCTTCCTTTTAGGGCTGCTGCTCAAAGTAAGCTCAACAACTACAGTGAAGCAATAAAGGATTGTGAGAGAGCCATAGCAATAGATCCAAAGTACAGCAAAGCGTATGGGAGAATGGGGTAAGCTAATAAAAGTCTGAGTAAACACTGAAGACCCAAGTGTAAATCACCATAGATTTTCCGAAATAAGTGGAGCTAGGTTGTTTTACTTGGCTGACATTCTTGTTCTGAAAGTGTAGTCATTTTCTGAAGATGACCCTATCAGGCTGTCAGTTTTAATTTTTATATATGTGGTTGATCTTAGCATTTCCATATCAGATTTCATCAGTTTGCAATTTTTTTTTCTTTCAGTTTATCAACATTGCAAATTTAGTTTAGAAAGTCATGATGTGTTTTTTTCTACCTCCTACCTATTTATGAGTAACCAAAAATCTGCAGTTGGAACAGTGAATCTGTTAATGATGCTGTTAGAGAACAGAATCCTAAAGTATTTGGGCTTCACACTAGCAGGAATAGAGACTTAATTTTTCTGTTCAATAGCGCTTGGGAAGCAGATATTTTAGCAAGACTAAGTTATGTCCTTGGTAGTTTTTCTCAGTCAAGTCTGAGAGATTAACAGTATAGCCTTTTTAGGTGGTGGGTCTGATTAAGTGCTACCTGAAAAAAAATGTCAGGAGTGTTCTGAATGAGATATCTACTTGAGTGAAGGGCCATTCTTCTAAGATATGCAGCTTCATATTTTCAATAACCAAACACATTGTGGGCATGGGCTGAATGCTGCATAAGGCTTTTGAGGTTATATCTATACTAGTAAATTACAAAATGCTTGGGATTGTTTGTTGGGTCAGCTGGCACAAAATGGCCCATGTGTATGTTATTAAAATCCAGTTTGCAGAATGGAAACTGCCTATTGCTAAATTTTATTTGCCTGTGTTAAATTCTGAACCATGCCCCAAAATTGTCTGCGATAATGCTTACTGGCCTGGGACAAAACCATGCCAGAGGACATTTATTTAAGATCAGAGATGATGGAATTCTATCACTTGACAACTTTCCACGATACAGTTTATTTTACCAATACAAATATAGCCTGACTGGCTTTTGAGATGATTAATTCACTTTGAAATTTTAGGGACTGTTGAACTGGTTTTGTCCTATTTAACTATCTTCAGATCGTTTCTTCTTATAGCACAACCTGAGATCCCCTGATTTCAGTGAGATGCTGACTTAGTTGGAAATTGGAGGTTATTTTAGAGTTTTGGGTGTAAGACCAGTGTGCCTTTTGATACACAAAGTAAGTGGGATCATTCTTGGGCAATCAAGCCTCTCTTTTTTTGATTGTCTGGTTGTTTTGATAGAGGTTATATTTTGAGCTACAAGCCATTGCTTAATTCAGCGGATGGATATAATAATACATTTGGCATAGGCTGAATGAGGAAATGGTGCTTGTTTAGTAGTAACTGAAAAAAACAAGTGCAGAAACCACCTTCTCAACAAAAAGTCTGTATAAGAAAGCTGTGTTTTCTGACTGCATAATGCAGTCAGATCAGTTTTTCTCGGGATTTGACAGAAGCTCTTTATATGTCACAGAAAGATGCGGAAGTGCCACAGAAATATGCAGGGATGGGAGCCATATAGACAGTTAAAGTGATACTTCCAGCATGACCCTGAAAGAGCACTTGTCTGGGTAGGAATTGTGAGCAAAGAAACTGTTGCCTGCTGTTCTGACTTGTACTGTGTTTCCAAGAAGCCGAATTTTACATACTTTCTCTGTAAAAAACCACGATTGCATCACAGAAATACCAGACTGCATTTCTTGTCTGGTCAGACACTATTTTGGCAAGTTAATAGACCAAAAGGGAGAATGTTTTTTATGGGAGTAACTGTCTTAAGAGAGAATACATTAATGTCGTGTGGGTTCCTCCAGGAGCGTTACTGGAAACTCTTGGAGTTTTCATACTGTTACTGAGTTCATTATCACTGAGTGTAATGAGTGTGACTGATGTATCAACACATTGAGCTCTCTTGCCTGGGATAAAAGAGTAAGGTCTGGTAGTGGGCATTAGCACAGGCTTATCAACCCAGTCTGTGTAGCTCAGCACATAGTAAAGGGGGACTGGAGTACTAAATAGTTGAATGTGGGTTACACAGATCTTTCACAAAATGTCAAAAAGATCAGTTTAGTTTAGTGGTCAGTATAAATTGAAAAGACAGTAGAAGATAGAATTGAAACTGCAACTAGATGGACTTCTGGAAGAGCTCAAAGAAGGATGATGTTTTAAATGTAGTAGCTAATCGAATTTGAAAACAAATACCGTTTCAAAACTAGTAGATCTGTCCTATGCTCTCCTGAGCTGCTGGAGAAGAATCTTTTTCAAAACATTAAGCAGACTTCCCTGATACAAGGGTTTCTTACAGCATCTTACAGATGTTACTACTATCCTGTATAACCCCTTTGTCAAGCTGTTGAAGTAGAATATCTGAAAGGAGAACCTTGCACTGATCCGTAGACAAGAATCTCGTTATGGTGAAACTTGTGGTTCCAATATTTGGTTTCTTGAAGCTGCAGAACTCATGTTAAGAGTATCTTTGTCCTACTTACCCATGTACCCTTCTGAATAATGTCTTGGATCAAAAGGACTGGAGGAAACAGAGGAATTCCTGAGCTTATGCAAAAAGTCACAGATGCTGGATCCAGCTTGTGCTCTCAAATACAGACTAAATCACTTGATGATACCAAGGAGTTTTTAATGAAACTTGCATATATATGGAACAGACAATGCATGACGAGTTCTTGAGGGATCATCTCTTCTGCAAAAACAAGTGCTTACACTAAGTAGTAGCACAATAGCAAAACTTGCTTTAGTGCTCAGGCTAAAAATTAGTTGTGAGACACTGTTTTACTTAGGACAGAAAATGTATCGTTATCTTTTGATAGTCATTTATGTTCTACCCAGGATTTCTTTATTTCACATTAGGTTGGCTCTGACCTCAGTGAATAAATATGAAGAAGCAGTTACCAGTTATCAAAAAGCACTGGATCTTGATCCAGAGAATGACTCTTATAAGTCAAATTTGAAAATAGCAGAGCAGAAACTAAGAGACATGTCCAGTCCTGTAAGTTAGCTCTGTATCTATTTATTTACAACAGTTTTAACTGGGATTTTGTAGGTAAACTTATCTTCAATTGCAATTTGTTTGTAGACTGGAACTGGACTGAGTTTTGACATGGCAAGCTTGATAAACAATCCTGCCTTCATTAGTATGGTGAGTATATTTCAAGCTTTACATTATACTGTTTTTAAAACTGAAGTTTTAAGAATGACTCTTGTTTAATAACACAAGCAATTCTAATGCTTATTATAATGGCAATGGTTTCATTATACTGAATTTAAATTTTTCTAAGCCATTTTACACTCAGAACAAGAAGTGAAGCAGTAATGTCCTATAATGCCTGTCTTATTTCGAGTTGATTATATCTTACTTATGAACAGCAATGTGCATAGATTAGCTATGCTGTTTTTATAAATGGCATGATAGTAAAACACTTGTCAACAGCATGGTGAAAATTTCTATTTACCACATAGCAGTTAACAATGAATACAAAGAAATCAACTCTTAAGTGAATAGCAGTTGATTCAGGTGCAGTCTACCCAAGACTAAAGTAACTCTGCTTGGGGAGAACTAGCCAGGAGACCTTTCGGTTCTTACTCTTTCAGATTATCCCTGACATCCTTAAGTGTGCAAAATTTCATGAGATGTGCAAACAATGAGTATAAATGACATACAGTGCATTCCTTTACTTCCAGTAAAATGGCAAATTGTGGTTTTGTCCCTCAGTAGTTTTTCTCCATGCATGCCTTTCTTAGCTAAATGGTATTAATTAACTTTGAAGAATAGAATTTGGAGAAAAAATTGCAAAATTTCCTTTGAGAACTCAGTTAAAATTTTACTGCCTCTCTGGTGGCTTCATTAGGACAGGACATTTCAACCAGTGCTTCCATGTGGAAATGCACTGTATGCAAGAGAGATCAATACCTCTGGTCTGATACTATGGTCCAAATAATAGAGATGGTGGGCAAGGAAGAAGTGAGCAAGTTCTTTGATGGCATTAGTGATTAAATAGCACCGGAACTCTGTGTACCACTTCATTGGCCACATGACTTACAGACAGGCTGCATCTGTTTAGAGTTAAAGATGTACTCTTCAGTATGGAGCTAACTATGAGGGAAAGATTTTTTGCATCATTTCCAGAAGATGGCTGATCAAGTGGATAGAACACAGGGCATTCAGCCAGGAGCAAATAAATTATTTTCCTGTGGTGTAGTTTTTTGTTTAGTTTTGTTTTTAAGGAAAAAAACTGACTTAGTGTCTGACCTTGAGAAGGTTACTTCTAGACTCCATTTTGGACCCCTAACCTGGATCAGTCTTGTAACTGACAGAAGAAAGAAAAAAATTCCTACATTACCCATAGAATTGACCTGAATTTGGTGTTTTATACCCAACTGTAGACTAGACAAAACAGATGATTTACTTTTGAGAGATAGAGATATATATATGTATGGAGATATATTGATCAATAAAATGAATATTGTACATATCTGGCTTTTGTAGTACCTTTAATAAGAGAGTGAATAAGCAAATAATGTGTTGTGCCTATTAGTCTTGTATTCATACAGACACTGATTTCTGTAGGAATTATGTTACTAACTTTAAAACATCACCTGGTTTATTCTATAGTATCTGTCCATATACACCCTTACACTATAGTAAACACAATATAATTTTTGAGGCATTTTATGAATGAGAAATTTAAATAACCTCATACTTACTACAAAGTAAGAAGATATGCAATTACCACAGAAGATATATGTTACCACAAAACCATGCTACAAAGATAAGTCCACAGTCTGGTTTACTCTGCAAGATTTTGCAGCCGTAATCTTAACAGTTTATACCCAGTAGTAATAGTAGTTGCAAAACTGATTTATCCAGGCTGGGAATCAACAAAATACAGACCATTTTCCAAAAAGCCCAATAGAAAACCTTTGTCCTTGGAAGTCTTAATTTTTAATCCGCCCCCCCCCC